AAACAGTAATTAAAAGGAACAGATTCGTAAACCGTGTCGTGGTATAACAACTGCCTTAGAAATGAATTCGCCCCGATGTGTGTAATCGCTGCAGTAGGCGGACCGTCCCCAGAGGTTAACACGGTCGCTCCGAATTCCGTACACCCAAAATCGGAGTGGACTGCCGGTGGTATTGCTCTTCTTATCGGAAAGCACAGAAAGAATAATTGCAGAAAACACTTTGAGAGTGAATTGCGAATGTTGAGAGTGAGTTGAGAAGCTGAATATAACCCTCTATTTATAGGCTAAAAATAGGGTTAAAATCGTCCATAAAATTTCAGGATTAAATCTCTTCTTTTGTAACAACTGAAACGTCTAGATGAACCTGACTCAAAAATAGTTCAGGTTCATTGCATCATTATTCAGCTATTATAACTCCCGAAATTATATGATTTAATTTAGGAAAAGCTGTTTAATTTCTGATAACTCTCATAAACCAACTGTTATCATTTGAATTTAAACAGTTCTCAGCAGCCTATAAATATTAGTTAAAATATTTCACATTTTTCCATTTGTTTCTTTCAAAGAGAAATTCCTCAAGAATTTTCTATAAAAAGATAGTATCCGCGCGGACGTGTCGAAGACACGTACGACCACGATCACGACCCGAGCCGAGACTGATGACGGCGGCGACGCGCGAGAGTCCTCCTTGTTTTCTTTCACTCAACAAGGAAGTGAGAATTCCATACTATAAATACCCATTCCCAATAGTGTTTCCAATACTATGTGGGATTAAGCATTACCAACAACCATTTTATAACTTTTAATAGTAAAAGACGCTAAAAACAATGTCCTATAGTCAATGGATCTTTTTATAATTTTTAGTGGTCGATAGACTCAATAAAACAACAACTATAAATAAGGGATCATTTGTATACTTGACTTTAATATTTTTTATATTTTATGTTCATTTTATGATTTACATTATTTTACAATTCATGATTATAATTTTTTAATAATATTATTTTTAATATTTAAATTTAAATGATATTGCTGAAAATATAACATATATTATCATTGTAATATATATATATATATATGAACAAGTAGATGTCAAGCACTAAAACGGGTTAATATTTATTTTCTTCTAATATGTATATGTATCAATTGTTTTTTATTTTATTTTATTTTATGTGATTTTTTTATTTTATTTTATTTTATTTTATGTGATTTTTTATTTTTATTTTGTATATTGATCTCCATGTGTTTCTGCTGGGACGGTGGCTGGCTATGAAGCCTAAGATTATAAGTAAACTAAGACGAGGGAAATATTTTATACTGATAACAACTGTTTAACATTAATTTAATTATCATTTATAATATATTATATTGGTGCCGTCGTTTTCAATTTATTTAATGTTTTTATGCAGAGATAACCTATTAATAATCAATTTTTATTTTATTTATTATTAAGTAACAAATAAAAAATATACTATCGTTCATTTATTATTATTTTTAATAATATAAATAGTAATATTTGTTTTAAATATTTTTAATTATTTGATAATGAATGTTAAAAATATTCTACTATTGTTGATGCTCGAATTGAAGACTTCTGAAGATAACAGTCATCCCTTTAATTATTTGACACTGAACTCCCACACTCCTACATTTAGGGGTGAACATTCGATTGATTCGAATAAAAAAAATTCGAGTTATTTGACTTGACGAGTTCTATTTTACAACTCGGAGTTGACTTAAAATTCTTTTGAATCGAGTCGAGTCAAATCAATTTTTCGAGTTTCTATTTAAATTTAATTATAAATATTTATAATATTATTTGATTCCAATTCAAATAACTTTCCATAACCATATATAATATACAAATATTTTTCCATATGTTATATTACATATATCACACAAAATCGAAGGACTCGACTCAAACTTAAAAACCAATTCACCAATTACTGAAATTTTGAGTTACTCGAGTTGTAGTTTACAATTTGAGTTGAATTTTAAAAAAATTCGAGTTGAGTTTATGAAATTATAACTTAAAGTCAATTCGAGTCGAGCAAAAAAAAAATCGATTTTTCAAATCAAGTCGTGTTTTGCTCGCCTATACTTACATTTCTGATGCTCAAATCTAAGATGTTAGAAAATAACAATAATTTATTTACCATCCGGGTAGCGTGGTTGAGGAAAGTAGACCACTAGGAACCACACTCCAAACTATACTAGAGAAGATGAAAGAAACCAGACGGCAGACCTCATAGACCTTTTTATTTTAATATTATTTTGTCTTCAAAGAAACACGGCCAAGGGGAAATTAGGCATGCTCCGAACACATGCAAGTCAACGGGTTTTATACATCAGATCCCATTTTTAAAGCATACCAAACCGTGTTCGTGTTGGCTACAAGACCTTAGAAAAACAAAATCTTTCAATGTTTTTTTGGTAATAATTTCATTCCAGTCCCTATACCATGAAAATGTTATGAACTTAGTCTAATATTTAATTATTTTTTTAGTAATTATATACACCTTTTAAATTTCGATCAAAACTCCAAGCGGAACGATTAAATCTTTTAATTCAAACGCTTTTATTACTTACAATCTCGTACTTAAGCTGTAAATTTAGTCATTATTCTTTGATTTGACCGTTTTCAGTCGCTATAATTTAGGTACTAAAATAAGAAAACGAGAACCATATGGGACTGAATTGAATATTAAGCCACTAGAAGTCAGTCTGTGCAAACGGGACGGCACCGAAGCTAATAAAAACAGGCGCGTTTGAGTTCAGCACCAGCCCGGTTCGATTTTTTTTTGTTCCTCGACCTGCCGTTTCTGATTTTAAAAACAGTCCCCCCCAACACAAGTATTATTCACTAATTAATTAATAATTTTGTCTTCTTTCTTTTCTTCTATAAATACCCGTTCTTTATTTGCTCCAACATCTTCCATTTCCAGTTCGAAACCTCTTTGGCGATCTTCTGTCTGTCTGTCTGTATTTACCAGATTCCGATACCCCAAAAGGAACCCACTGTCGTTATTTGTGTCGTCGGCTGCAATAATTCCAAAAAAAAAAAACTTGTTAAATTTGAATCGTTTTCGGTTTCTTGTCCCTTTCGATTTCATCGAGGATGGTTTGCTTGGTTTCTCGCACCGGAAGGGACTTGCAGCGCTACGACAACCTCGGACGCCGCCAAGTCGTCGGGTGAGTGTTTCTTTTTCTTCTCCTTGCTGGTCAGATTTTTCTTCAATGGATGACGAGAAAAGCTAATAAATTTCTTCAAAATTTCGATGATTTTGCAGATGCATTCCCTATAGATTCAAATGCAGCAGCGATGGAACCATTACTGATGAGTTGGAGGTTCTCTTAATCTCTTCACAGAAAGGTCAAAATATGATGTTTCCCAAGGTACTGCAAACAAAAAATGGATTTTTTTTTTTCATTTTCAATATAAAGTATCCATTAAATCATGCATTATTCATCAATTGTTTTTTTTTTCTCTTTCAATTATTAGGGTGGTTGGGAGCTTGATGAATCCAGGGAAGAAGCTGCTTTAAGAGAGTCTGTTGAAGAAGCTGGAGTTATTGGCAATGTTGAGGTTAGTCCTGCTTGTTAACATCTTGTATTGTATCATGTCGTGTTTATCGCAATTGCAACATAACATACGCTATTACGCTATATCACATATGCTAATGCGGTCGCGGACCGATATTTAAATCCCGCATAAAAATAAAAGTTACTGATTAATTTTAATTTTGGCATTTGATGAACACAGCATGAATTGGGGAAATGGTACTTCATAAGCAAAAGCCATGGCGCATTTTATGAAGGTCACATGTTCCCTCTGCTTGTGAAGGAGGAACTCGACTTCTGGCCGGAGCAGCATGTCCGTCGACGGACTTGGGTAAGCCATTTATCGCACGAATCAACTGAATTAAATCTCGGGTTTTATTTAAATCAACATACGAATCGAGGAATCGCGGTTTTTTTAATCATTTTATTCAAATTGTGCAGATGAATGTGAAGGAAGGTAGGGATGTATGCCAGCATTGGTGGATGAAGGAAGCATTGGACATATTTGTTGAAAGACTGAGTTCCTTGCAGCAATAGGGAAAAAAAAACATTTCAATTATGTTCGGTTTAGTAGTAATTGGAGATGAACTCATTGTCTGTAAATAGGGGTTTTCTCTTTGATTAAAGGGCCAAGGAGACAGTGGCAGCATGGTAGATGTTTTAAGTTGTTTTGCATGAGCCATGTTCTCTATGCCTTCTTTCACGTCAAGTAAAGAAAATAATATAAACATTACAGTTTATATAAAAAAACCCCTAAATCTCAAACCTTTTAGAAGGAAATTAACATGAAGAAAATTATTGGGCCAAAGGCAAAAGATTCCTTCATTCAGTCATTTGATTCTTAATTTGTATCACAATTTTCACCACAATTGTGTCAAAGAACAATAGAAATGTTTATCATAAAAAATCAACTAAATTATTAAAAATTAGGGTAAAGCACATAAATGGTCCCCTGACTATATGATATTGCTTCATTGAGTTCCTAAACTATTTGAAGTTACAAAATAGTCCTTTGACTATAGAATGTTACTTTGTTAAGTTCGTTGACTATTAAAAGTTACAAAATAGTCACCCGACTATTTATTATGCTCTGAATTCGTCATTTTCTGTTAAAATATTGGTGCTTGTCTAAGCTCGATGTTAACATGATGACTGATATATGATAGTCGTTTGAGATTCTGGGATCAGATTTTATCATATCACAGTCAACAGGTTAACGTTCAGCTCAAAATATCATAAATGTTTTAACAGAAAAGAACGAATTTGAAACATAGTGAATAGTAGAGTAATCATATTATAACTTTTAATAGTCACGGGACTCAACAAAGCAATACTCTATAATTAAATGACCATTTTATAACTTCTAATAATCAAGGGACTTAACTACAATTGGTGATCATTTCCGCCAAAAATTAATGATAAAATTAATATTTACCGTTATACCAATAATATTTCCGCCAAAAAAAAATCGAACTTAGATGATGAGGCTTTTAAGAACCAGCTACAAATTTCTCTATACTTCTCTCGAAATCCATTTCCGGAAATATGATTTCCCTTTGATTCCCATTTCGTACATCCACAGCTCTACCAAAATCCAATATCCGAATTCAAAGTTCGATGTTGTTCTTAATGAGGTTGCTGAGCTCAATTCTTCAAAACCCAGTTCCCACGGCGGCCAATCACCGCCGGAAGTCGTCGTTCCGTTTGATCATGAGAGAACCACGACGCGGAATGAATCAACGGTTCAGATTTCTCATCCGTGGCAGGAATGGGTGGATTTGATGGAATGCTTATTGAGGAGAGGCTATTTCGATGCAGATGGGAACCCTTTTGAAAATGGTGAATTGGGTTCGAAAGAAGCCAATAGTATCCGCACATCTTGCCTTAATTTCGCTAGAGATCGCTTTAGTCTTATAAGGTAATGGAGAATTTCTAGTTATCATTGTGTTGAGTGAGTTACTTTCTCTTTGCTCTGTGTTTGTATCTGTGTCTGGGTTTCTATGCATATAACCTGTTTGATAATATTTTACAGTGATAATATATGTAGACGTTTTGTGTTCTTTTCGTGTTTCTGAAGACCCTTTTGCTTCCAGGTACTTCTCAAGGAAAGATGTTCAGGTCATTGTAGGATGCGGATGCCCGAGCCTTGATAGGAAAGTTGTCAATTCTGGGAAGCGCTTAAGAGCTCATGTGGGCATTGATGAAGGAAATGTATGTACTAGGCGTCTTCAATTTATTGTTTCATATTGTTGATGTGGTAAGTGAAAGAGATATTCTCTGTTTTTCTTTTCCCTGATTATTGTTTGTCTACCTTTTCTTTGTAGGTATGCAGCTCCTGCAATTTGAGAGGAAACTGTGATAGGGCGTATGTAAAGGCACGTGAAGACGAAGGTGGAAGGACCGTGGATGTGATGCGCATTTTATTGACCTACTGTCTCGACTCTGTCACCGGTTCTGTCGAGAACAAACTAGTTCAAAACAAATTAATTAAAGAATCGGTAAGACGACTGCTGAAAGAAATGGTTGATTATGGCAGAGAGGATCAACGAGCTGACATGCCAAATGCTGCACCCTCAAGAGGGGATGCTTCACGACACGATCATTCAAGTACGCAAGGACAAATAAAAGTTCCGATGAAGCCAGGCGATTGGCTTTGTCCCAAGTAATTTGATGGCCTGATGTTATTGCAATTTGAAAATTTGGTTATCCAGTTGTTTGTGCATTGTGACACCAATTTGTCTTTGCTTTCCATTTGTTAGATGCGACTTCCTAAATTTCGCAAGAAACATCAAGTGCTTGCGCTGTGACGGTTTTTTCGAAGAAAGATTGAGGCAACTACGGGAAGATCAGGATCATCTGCCATTAAAGAAGGGAGATTGGATATGTAGCAGGTACTGATTCTTAAAGGTCTTTTGAGTTTCTAATGGTTCATTCCTCATGGAGACTTTCAATTCTTACAGATGCAACTTCCTGAATTTTGCAAAGAATACAAGATGTCTGCAATGCAAAGAGAAACCTCCGAAGCGACATCTCAATCCTGGGGAATGGGAATGTGAATCGTGAGTTTTCTCGAGTTCAATTTCCTTTGAATTCACCAAAGCTCGAACATAACAGCCTTGTTTGATATCATGTTGTGGATTCGAATGTCTGGAATTATACAGGTGCAACTATATTAATTTCAGACGAAATATGATATGCTTGAAATGTGACCACAAGCGGCCAAAAGTCTCGAATGCTTCAATCACATCCGCTGGTGGATTCGAAGGCAACATCGGTAAATTCGAAGGGCAAGACAGAAAGCGATATGAAAGTTCAGATAGATGGAGATTTGTACATGAAGAGAACGAAGATGAATGCTTAGATTCAGGGACTGAGAATTCAAAGTTCTTTGATTTCCCCATTACCAGAAATAAGCCTACCGTGCCACCTGAAACAGACGGGAAATGCAAGTCAACGTCGGAGACGAACAAAAATCCCACAAGGGTAATGCAAAACGATGAATCTAAATGCAGCGACAGCCGGAGAAAGTCGGAATTGCTCAAATCTTCAGACGACGAAGAGATGGATGGGTGGTTTCGACGTCGATAGAAGAGCAAGCTTAAAGTTTTATTGTTTCATATCTGCACCTAGAAGTGGTTGGCATGATCTAGATGAATGTTCTTTTTTATGATAGATTGAGGGGATAATTTTTAGATCGGATCTGTTCCAACTTTTGCTTCAAAAATCAAAGACAATGAAATATGACTAAACGTTAGAACAAATCAAAATCGAATAAAAATCTTCTTTTTAAATCAAAATCAGAAATGATAAAAAAAATCAACATGTATTCATCCCTAATGTATCACTTAAGAAGCACTTCACAATTTTTTTAATATAATATTTGAAATATAAGTTTTAGAATCCTTAAATTGATGAAAAATACGTACTTTACTACTTTTGAACTCACTATTTATATAATATTATTGAAATGATAATTAAATTATGATTCGATAAATATTATTCAATTTATTTGAAAAATAAAAATTTAAGATAAAATATAGATAATAGAAAAGTGGTTACCTATACTTTTACTTTTGAGTAAACTACAAATTTAATATCTAAATTATCATTTTTGATCCGTTCTAGTATTTAAATTTTAATTTTTTTCAAAATCATAGCTAGCATTTAGTTTTTATTTCATTTTAATATCCCGCTGTTAAAACTTAACATGTTTAGTACCCATCTATCAGTTTTGGTTCGTTTTAGTACCTAAACTTTTAATTTTTTCAAAACTTAACGATAAATTTTGAACGAGTACTAAAATGAAAAAAAAACTAAAGTTTTTAATGGCGGGTACTAAAGTGAAACAAAAAGTAAACTTTAGGTATGATTTTCAAAAAATGAAAGTTTAAGTACTAAAACAAGTAAAAACTGATAGTTTAGATACTAAATACATAGTTTACCCTTTACTTTTCTTTATTTCTTTTTAATTGCTTTCTCCTAACAACCTTACCATACCTTACCTGACCACTATCGGATACAAAGTGGCAGTTAACCATTCAGAAGTCAAATTTGAACAGTGGTTGTCGATTTTTCGATTTCAGATTCCAAGCTTTCTCCTTTAACGTGCCCCCTTTATCCTCCTACATCTTTCTTTTATTTTTCATATAATTTTCCCATAATTTTTTTGGGGTTTCCCCCTCTTTTGAAATTAAGGAAACTGTAGCTGTTTCTTCTTTCTCCCCCCCTCCTTTTGAATCTCGAAGATTGAGAGAACTGATGGGTACAGAAGGATCAAGTGTTGTTGGTAAGTTTTCGATTTGGAAAGTCCTATATTTCTCTTATTTGTTACTCAAATTTCCTCTCTTTTTTTCCTGTTATCACTGAAAATTTGTTATTATTCCGCTGTTGTTGTTGCTTTGAAAGTGTTTGCATCTCTGGGTTTTTCCCTAGGGGAGTGATCATTCTTGGATTTGGTAGAAATAGGGTTTTGGTTTTGATATTGGTGTTCTTTTGTTTAGTTTAATGTTCTTGTTTTTAGATGCTTGAGGATGGTGTTTTTGTGCTTGGTTTGATATTCAAGGTGAGAATTTTATAGCCTTTGTGGTGAAATTTTTACAGGATATTTTATAGCAAGTTTTTTATTAAAAAATTCCTTGAAGATCTTGTCTTTTTCCTTTGGTTTTTGATTTGCAATCGATCAAACCCTTGTTGAAATTTGGATTAAAATAGTTCTGTTATTTGTTTTTCTTCACTTCGGGTTCTGAGGTACGAGTTTTAAGGTTATTCATGATTCTTATAAATTATAATTGTGACGGAGCCATTGCAATATATTTAAACTAATTAGATCTAACAACATTTGTCTATGTACCTTGTTTCAAGTAAAGAATATTGATGCTGATAGAGTATATTCAAAACGAAGAAGAAATAGCTGTTAAAATGCTCGAAACTTTGCTATGATAGCCACTTGACTATGATGCGTGGACCGTACAAGCTTTGAAGTAACTTTTTTCTTTTACTCGTTTCATACATCAAAACCATTGATCCACTTCTCAAGGAATTTGATGAGATTAGTCAACGTTATTTGTGATGTGGGATGCATATGCAACAGTTTACAGAGTGCTAGCCGTCTTAACTGAACATTTGAAAACAGATGTTTGCGGTTTAGCTTGTATTCTATCGGGATTACTTCAGTTATTTCTGGTATCTTGTTGACTGTTTTGGATTCTTTGACATACCATCCTACCATTTCTTTGTCTTGGATTTTACTTTTTGCTATTGAAGAAACTTTTGTTTTAAATATTTTTGAGAACTGCATTTTTTAAGGATGGTCTTCGTAAAATCTTCATATGTGACTTTGTTACAATTATGACCTAGGGACTAAAATGTCTGGTCTTGTGCAGTGCCCAGGAATTTCAGATTGCTGGAAGAGCTTGAGAGGGGCGAAAAGGGAATTGGGGATGGAACTGTTAGCTATGGGATGGATGATGCTGATGATATATACATGCAGTCATGGACTGGGACTATTATTGGCCCCCTTAATGTGAGTCCCTCTCTCTTATTCTTTTCAGTAACCAGTGTGTTTGTCTCTGAATTTGAGTGGAAATGTGCAATGATGAGTCTAAGCCAACCTCGAAGTTGACAACTACTTGTAGCAAGATAATGTCATTCTTGATGAGATATTTGATATGTTGGATACCAATAACATGAAAAGAAGCTATGCTCGAGGCAAATTAGTCTATTGCTCGAATTGGAAGACTGCTTCTTTCTGCACCAGGGGGTAGAATATAGTTGACTGGCCTAATTTCGCTTATATTCTGACAATTATAGCTTGTTGAAACTTATAAGAAGAGATTAGTGCTTTTCATATTTACGATATTTTAAAAGACCTTTCTCGGTACTTTTCTATAGGAGTTGCTTAGGAGTTCTACTATCCAATCCTGACTATTTTTAATTGTTATTTTATCACATAATTCAACTGCTTTTTTTGAAAAAGTACTTTGTTTGAAAAGTTTAGCTATTACCTGCAAAACCCATTGAGCCTCATTAAAACTGTCACCCGGAACTATAATATACAAGCTCTATGATCTACATCCTTTTTGCAACTCAGTTTAGCTGGAGCTTTTTGAACATTCGAATATACTTCAATTGTTCTCTCAGCTTATGACAAAGTATACAAGGTTTGTATTTAACAATTTTAATGCCTTTAACTAAAATTAGAAATCTTCCCAACTTCTTTATTTTGAGAAACTATGTTAGAGATGCGCATGCTGATGTAGATATGCTTTCGTTCACGAATGGAAGATGGCAAACCACCATCAACATTTCACGTTTATCCCCCACAAAATTGTCGTCGTTATTATCTCTTTCTTTATGAAATTCTTGCTCACTCATAAAACAGTCAATTCTTGGTAATTTCAGCTCATTTAGGTCTAGTTTGTTGCAAATGATAGGATTAGATCAATTGGCTTTTTGTTCAATGCTGTAGGTCATTAGGTCTTCATAGAATGATGGGATGGTTTGATTGATTATCCTACATGGGCAGTATTAGACAATCTTATGGAGAGGAAAATGATTATCATACATGGATAAGATTTTGTGTAATGTAATGAGAGCCTTTTTAGTTATGCACGCACCAGGAAAAAAAAGCGATGAAGTTAAGAAAATTAACTTGTTAACCTTGTTATTTTGTCCCGTGTATACTTCCATACACTTGACCAACTTCAATGAAGTTACCATTGCATTTGAAACTCAATTAATAATGATTTCTCTTAAACCACCTAGTAAGTTGATATCTTACTTTTTATGCATTTCAGACTGTTTATGAAGGACGCATATACCAATTGAAACTGTTCTGTGGCAAGGATTATCCAGATAATCCACCAAGTGTGAGGTTCCAAACACGGATAAATATGACCTGCGTAAATCAGGAAACCGGAGTGGTAGGGGATGTTTTTCTCACAACCTTTTATGCTACGGTATGATACTAATAGCTCTGTTTTATTTCCAGGTTGAACCTAGCCTTTTCCCCATGCTTGCTAATTGGCAAAGGGAGTATACAATGGAAGACATATTGAGTCAGCTGAAGAAAGAAATGATGTCTCCACAGAACAGGAGGCTAGCTCAGCCTCCTGAAGGTGTGTAGATCTTATAATCTCTTCGTATTATGTCGTTTTCTTAAGCCTGTCTCTTTTCTTAAGCGAGTTTAGTTATTAAGGATAGTCGAATCGTACTATAGAAAGTGTTGTTTGTTCCATGAAATGGTAGTCTGGTTATTTGGATATTGATCAACTGAATGTTATTTGTGATATATTGATTCCCCGTTGCCCGAATGTTCTCGCTTTGATGCATGTTATGTAAAGTTTAAACCGTGATCATATTTTCCTAGGCAACGACGAGGCAAGGCCTGACCAAAAGGGTTTAGCGATGAAGTGTTGCATCGTTTGAAATCACCGGAGTTGCATGTGAACATTATGTATATAAGAAAATATATACATTAGGTAACTCCAGCAACAGGCTTAGTTATGAAATGTCAATGGTGGTGAAATAAATCAAGAATTCTTAACGAATCCGATGACATTAAAAAACTGCACAAGTTATGCTAGTACCGTATCAAAGTTGGTGTGCACATTTTATTATTTTTCTCTTTTATTTCCTCGTTTGTTTTCCATTTCCATATCATGTAGTTAAGAACGAATCCGAGGAGAAAGATGAAGCTGGGATCTTTACTGGTTTGAGATAATTGTTATGTTCCCCTCTCTGTCTTGTGCTTTCTCTTGGATGATGAGAAAACTGTACCCTCATAAGTTTATTATTTCCAACAATGTTTGAATTACAGTTCCATTTTCATTCATAAGCTTCCTTCTTTGGACAGCTTATGTTCCTGTGCATTTCCATGCGTAGTTTCTTCCATGATTTCTGATCTTCCTGTTTTGGATGTTATTTAAATTGAAAGCTTAATGATTTCAAGCATAAAATATGTTATTGGAATGAATTTATTTACTTTTCATCAAAAAGTTGTGAATTCTGTCGTGTTTAAACGTACAATATCATTTGGTTTAATCAATTAGGGTTTTGAGGATTAACGGGAGTTAGTTCAAGTGGTAAGCAGTTTGATATTGTTTAAGGTCTCGAATCCGAGTATTTGTGTATGCAGGAAATCCCTGTTGAGAGACTCATACGTCAAAGTTAGGTCTATGACGTTGGTTGGTCTATATTAATCAGGGTCAAAGTCTGGGAATTAGGAGGGCAAAAGAAAATAGGGTTTTGAGGGAATTTTCCGATGATTTAAGAAATTTAAACAATAATATTTCATTTACAAAAAATTATATCAATAAACAATGGAAAACAAAAAATTGATGGGAGAAATGTGAAGGCGAAAGAAAACCATGCGTTTGGTGTTCCTATTTTTGTGGCTGTAAAAGGCAAATACATTTTGTATTCACATCTGAGGCAGCTTCCTTAGTTGTCGTTTCATATTTTGTCAGTAAAAAAGGGTGTCGTTTTATCTCATTTCGGTTCTCTTTCATTTCATGTTATTTTTGCCTCCCATTATACGAAGCATTTATTTTGTTATTAAATTTTTAATCATTCTATCACACTCGTTAATTGTATAATAAACTACATATAAATATGATATAATTTTTGAGAAAATAGCGTAATAAGAATCTATTAAATTATCCCAATTATTAAAGGAAATATTTTTTTGAAGTCTTGAATTCGAACAATCGGTGTATTATCAATGATTAAGAAAGATTTTAAACAAATACTATCGATTTTAGTGGTTAAAAGGATACGAGTATTCATTGTAAAATATTATGAGAGTATCAAAAGTTGAAAGAAATTGTCAAGAGAATGATTTTTTTTGGCTTTAACGTATCGTTTGAGAAGCTGCTTAGGGTTTTTGTTTTGTCAACAAACAGTCTTGATCAACCTCTTATTCCCACTATAAATACCTGTAACGTCATATAATCAACAAAAGCAAAGCTCATTAGGGTTTCCATTACTTCTTTGTCACCAATTCTTGCAGTTTCTCTTTGTATCTGCCAAATATCTCAGTTTCATTAACACCCCAACCATGGCTTCTTCTTTCTCATCAAAAAATCTTCCACAAGGTAGTATTTATATACATACATACATACATACATACATACATACATACATACATACATACATGCATACATACATGCATACATACATACATACATACATACATACATACATACATACATACATACATACATACATACATACATACATACATACATACATACATACATACATACATACATACATACATACATACATACATACATACATACATACATACATACATACATACATACATACATATGTATGTATGTATGTATGTAACTTTGTCTTGCTTAAATTTGCAGTTTTTGTTCTTTTTTTTTTAAGTGTTTAATAATTGCATGAATATTTGCAGGAGTTGATGATTTAGGGCGTAATGATTCATTCTTTGACAGAAACCATGATGGTATATGTAGTTACTTAAGTTCCTGGCATTCCAAGTTACGTATTAATACTCGCGTACAACTCGTAAAAAATTATATAATATATCGATGGAACGTCGGACGATGAGATTCGAATTCCAGAATAACTTTTTACCGAATTCGTGGGATCCGTAGCTGGACGGAATGGCTGACATTATACCATCTTTGCAAGCATGAACGTGGATTATAGAGGAAAGTGGCAGTTAAAGGCGTTTATGATGGAAGCTTGTTTGAACGTATGGAGAGGGACATAAAACCACACAAAAATAGATGGTAATACCTCAATATTATTTCTTTTGTAAATTTATTTATTGATCTTTTAAGTAAAATAATAATAAAACTAATAGTTCGACGAATAAATTATAGTTTGGATTATTGGTATAAGAATATTTTATAAATTCGACTCTGTATGATATATGAAGAAATATATATGTATTGTATAATGAAATCAACGTCCATTCCAACAAAATAATTTTCAGACAATTAGAATATGATTATATACATTATATTATATTTTAGGCGTAATCCCAAAATCCATCCCTAATGTTTTGTATAAAAGCCATGTTGGTCTCTATTATCTTTATACATTTCGATTTTTTTTTGTCAAAATACTCTTTTTGATGAATTTTTTTAGCTAATTAGTTGTCAATGCTTATCGCTGACGTGATGTTTTATCTATCAGCGATAAGGATAATAGATGACGTTGTGTTGGTAAAGCACATGTGATGTTTTAGCTAATTAGTTGGTAAAGCACAAGGTTCTTAACCTTGAGGTCGTGGGATCGAGTCCCACGGAGGGCATTTCATAATTCGGAGGTCTCTTACGAAAGCTGCTCTCAACCTTGTGTTGGGGGTAGCCTACTATCTTACCTCCCCTTATCCCATATATATGGGAAAAAGGGACAGCCATTTATTTTTTTAATTACTTAGATGACGTATATCACATGTGCTTAGGTGTTAACTTGGCATATATTACTTGTGCTTAGATGATGACATGATATATTACATATGAAAAATGTTATATTAACGACAAACATTAAAGTTTATTAAGGGTGTGACCCATTCAATCCAATTTCCTCCTTCCACTATATATTTAAGTCTTTAATATTTTCTTAAAACATCTAATGTTTTATCCCGTTAAATCAACTAATAATTTTATATATTTTAGAATTATTATGTTTCATAGTACAGTGAAAATTATAGCATAAGATACCACAGATGGGCTCCGATCATTATTCAAAGTTTATCCTCAGCTAATCAAACCCTAATAATTTGGTTCCAAGAGCCATGATTGGCAACAACAATGTTGTGTGGCAAAAGACACCATAACCATGGCACAAGTGCATATATGTATAATGTATACATAGATATATGCATGATATATGATGGATGGTATGTATGCTTTATTACTATGATTGTTTGCCAGCTACAAAGTGTAGGGACATGGCATGATCCAACCCTAAATCAAAGGGAGGTGATGGAAAGGGCAGGGGGCATTTGTTGGTGATGCAGCTTGCCCTTAAATCTTATCTAATCGAGCAAAATGACAATATTTTGGTCGGAGGTTAAACCCATAGACCTAAAAGGTGTTGTGGGCACACAATAAAAGCAAATGACAAAACATTCATCGCCTTTGATAGATACACATCTATAATATGGACATTTTATTTAATTATTGAGTGTGACCTTCCCCTTTCTTCATTATTATCATTTTGACAACACATTTTAAAAAACTTCATTTTTGTTAATTTCACGCTTCGTATTCAATAATAGATCTTGACGATACATTTTAAAAAAATATTTGAGAATTGTATAGGTCTAAATTATAATTCTTATTCTTATTTTTTGATTTAGAGAAAACTTTTAAAAGTTTTAGGAGGAGAATTAAAAATATTTTGGGTGAAGTACACAAATAGTTCCTCAACTATATGATACTACTTTATTGAGTCCTTTGACTATTAGAAGTTACAAAATGGCCCTTCGACTCTAGGGAGTTGCGTTGTTGAGTCCCTTGACTATTAAAAATTACAAAATGGCCACTTGATTATTCATTATGTTCCAAATTCATCCTTTTTCGTTAAAATATTAATGGTCATCTGAGTTGGACGTTAACATGATGACTGAGATATGATAGTCTCTTGAGATTATGAGATCATATTTTATCATGTCATAATCAGCATGTTAACGTACAACTCAAACTGCAATCAATTTTTTAACGAAAAATTATGGGTTTGAAACATGATGAATAGTTGAATGACTATTTTGTAACTTTTAATAGTCATGTGACTCAACAAAACAACCACTTATAGTCGGAAGACCATTTTGTAACTTTTTATAGGGAGAGACTTAATAAAACAATATCCTATAGTCATGGAACCATTTATGTACTTTACCTAAATATTTTTAAAAAATAAAACTTAATAAGAATTTTTAAAATTTGTGAGAAGAATAAATTAAATTTCTCAATATTTTTAAAAAATTAAAAGTTAATTTTATACAATTTTAGGGGTCGGATCTCCTCTACCGATTCGTCCCTATCCTCATCAAATCAAAAGTCTTTGTTGGCACTATTTCAATCGATCGAGACCAAAAATCTTATAAAAACACGTGAACGTTTTCATTTAAAAAAAGTTTAGAGAAGGGTGGCGCCCCAGACCATGGTCAGGGTATACCTAAGACCCAATTGGGATTTATCATTTACATATTACTCACCAAGAGTGACGGTGCTAGGATTCAAACTTTACATTATAAGCTCAAATTCCTGAATTTTAACTACTTATACCAACGCTCGTTGACACAGATGAACGTTTTAATATTTAAATTAATAAGTTTTAATTAATTAATTAATACATGCATCTAACTTTCTCACTAGGTCATTTTTTTTCCTCAATGGAAAACTTAAAAGATCGTTGAATTCTAATAAAGGCATTTGTTTTTTTTCATAGCAATGACCCAAAGACTTTGAACAAATACCACTGGTCTTTTGAAGCACCTGCTTTTAACATTATTAAAGGAAGCTTCTTGGTATTTAATAAGCACCAAATGCTTATTGCATAATTGTTATGAACATGACTGCGGAGGTCTAATTCAATTCTATATAATTCCAGAGCAAAATGTTAAGAATTATTGGAAAAGAAATTTCTCTTCAAAAGAAAAAGTACTAGTTATATATAAAAACATAATTATTTGGGTAAAGTACACAAATGGTCCTCCGATTATAGGGTATTGCTTTATTAAGTCCCTCAAATAATAAAAGTTACAAAATGATCCTCTGACTATAGAATTTTGCTTTATCAAGTCTTTCGGCTGTTAAAAGTTACAAAATGGTCACCTGACTATTT